AAATTAAGTCGACTAAAATGATTCAAAAGACTAAAATATGATCGAAAATAAATGGAATTTTAGTCAAAAGACTACGACTAAAACGAAATCATAATTTGCTGTCAAAATTAACTGCCATTAGGAAGAACGCAGCATCTCATTTCTCAGGACACGTTCTCTGTTTTAGTGCTTTCCTCAGTTTGTTCCTTTGAGGTAACTTTTGCAAGAACGGTCTCAACAAGAATACGAGTTTGTTCTCAGCGTTCTTGCAATTGAGAAACAGCCAAATATCTTGTTTTGTGTTCAACAGAAGAAAGAAACTCCAGCATTAGACCCACATGAGGGGAAAAAAAAAGAGAGATAAAGGGATTATTTAGCCAAATGAAATTTAAGTCCTATTGGACTAGAAGTAAGAACCACTTGTGTCATGGGCTGAGGGTGGGATAACTGTGATCAACCGGATTAACTAAAACTCGTTCGAGTGCAGTATTTAAAATAACCGTGGAATATCGCTTCTAATCGACCAAATTTAAATTACGGCACTGTAGGAAACATCTTATGCCTAGTTCACACTAGAGGATTTTAAGCCTGATTTGAGCCCGATTTGGAAGTTAACGAGCTCGCCGACAGATCGGGCTGTGATCGGGAAGAAATCTGCGGGTGCTCGGCGCTCGGCGCTCTTTTTTGTGTGAACTACTGAGCAACGCATCAACGAGGCTCGCTAACGCGTCGCCGACACCTCGCAGACGGAAATCCAACATTCAGCATGCTAAATATTCCAGAGCAGTCGGCCGACTCAACCCCACGTGTGGTCAGATGTAGTGACGAGCTACAGCCAATGAGAGAGCAGATCAGCATGAGCTGAATGCCTGTGTGTTCAGGAGCTCAGCAGAAACATCTGTGATTGGTCAGAATGGGCATCAACGCACTCGCTTCATTCTGTGTTAGCACAGACATGAGAGGAGGCTATATTAACAGTGGAACTAGAATTCTGTAACTATTAGAATTACCATACTGCTCATTCTGACCATTCTCATATGAAACGCCATATTGTCACAACATATTTACATTCAAAGCTATTATTGAGATATTAAAATTAAGCTTTGAATGTCTGGCATCATATTTAATGACACCATTACCCTAAAAATATAATATTTTTTTGGTAATACAGCCTATAAATATGTAGTTAAGATACTAGAACACTTAAAGGTCTTGGCTTTCATTTTCACTTTCAAACAGGAGCTATTTCACAGCACATAATATGCTGTTTTTAAAGATATCTGAAGTAAATTGATGTTTTTGCCATCAGAAGTTTTGTTTATGGTAGCAGGAAGTTGCCAGGCAAGAAAATGCACACATATTTAAAGTCACAGTGAAAAGTATCAGACATGCATGCAGTCATTTTGACCAATATGGTAATTTAAGGCAGAAATGCTCAGTTCTTTACTGTTTTGTAATAAAAAAAATAACAATGTCAGAAAGAAATACACTGATAGTTAGAAAACGGCAGGGTGTTATAAATATGTTAGTTTTATTTCAAAGAGTTATAAAATTACAAAAATTAAAAACTCTCTGTGTATCTATCCACTCAAACCTTGCAGATGAGTGATTAATCCGCTCATAAATCAGCTGATTTGACGATGTTTTTAAATGCTGTCTCCAAAGCTTGAAACGCTGTCAGTGATGTCATCAGCACACAAGCAGCCAATAGTGTTCAGCTTTTTCTGACGACTCCTCCCTCAACATTTCATTGGCTGTGGTTTGGTAGCTTGAATGAGCTGATGGGGAATGAGATGTTGTCAGATCATATAGTGTGTGACCCCCCTCTTGTGGATCGTTCACGGAGTGTTGCGTAGTGTGAACACCACAGAGATTAAAAGACACAAAGTCAAGTCATGTAGTGTGAACAGCACAGCGATCTGCTGATGTTTAAAATCCTGTAGTGTGAACTAGGCTTTAGGGGAGTGTTCACCTAAGTGTAAGGAAAGTGTGAGTACGTCACTACCTTAACTATTTTTAACACAATTTCTGCTTGCGCTTCTTTGTCATCTGTCGTTGATAGACAACCATCAACCGTTTTCTCAGTGGATGACAAACTAACAAAACATTTCTGCAAGTATTCTATAACAAGTATTCCTTCTAACAAAGCAGCTTCTCAGACGAACCGACAATAGCACTGGCTCTAGCAGGTTGCACACCAGAAGCGCCGCTCGGTGGCGCCATGCAGCGCCATGCATTTTAGAATTCTAAACATAGGTTTCTATCAGGATACACACCGGCGCCGCAAGTCGGCGGCTGTCTGCGGCACCCGGCGACGGCTCAGGAAGCAGTTCATTTTTCAGCCCTGCCACAGAGCGCCATCTGATTAGTTTCATGTTAAATATCATTCGAATGTGCGCGTCTGGTGTGCGAAACTTTAAACTGTCATGTGCGCGCCGTGTCGCGGCGCCGAGTGGCGCTTCTGGTGTGCGACCTGCTTCTGAACTAGCACCTTGCTCATGCTGGTGGAAACGGCCTATCGGTGAACGCTAGGGTGACTTTCACTGCTTTGGCATAGTTGACCCTGAAAGCTCGGCTCATGCCAACATCATGCTTTTAACGGTGGATAAGTTTCCCTTTTTTCCATGGTCAAAGCGGGGACTCATTTGCATTTTGGATTGATAACCAGCATGTGCTCATATGTGGATGGGGAAATGTGATCCAGTAGTGTTGCATGATCCCATTGTCACCCCTTTCATTTGGGATTTGGACATTTTTGAAAGGAGAAGAGGTTAAAGACGTGATCGATGTGAACATGGTAACCAAATCTGTCAACCATTTAAAGCTCGCGTCTGGCCCTCTGAAAAGAAGTATTTTGCACATCATTGTTGAGTTGTTGAGTGCGTGTACTTACATTCATCTAATTAATTTCTGAAGTGCAGCTCAGTCCTTTTAATTTTACAATGCTCATTGTGATGGCGGATCCTGTTTCCCGACCCTTTCATCGGCACTTTGATGCCCCCCTTTACATGGAAAGAGAGCGCATTGTGACCCGCCGCTCTGTTCTGCAGATGCTTTCAGTTAAATATTAAAATATTCATTCAAGAATAATGGCAGCAGATTAAATAAGCACTGCGAACGCGTGCGTATGGCAGCGGGCGAGAGCAGGTGCCAGTCAGTTCTTTGAGCGCAGAGTTTGGACGCTTTACAGAACATCTCTTGCTTCTGTTTGGACCTTGAGGAGTGTTAAATTAGTGATGATGTTGACCTTGGCACCCCTGCGCGGCTGTAGTCGACTCTGAGCTGATCCATCGCTGGCATCCGCCCCACAGAAAGGGCAGAGCTGTCATGGCTAAAAGTCAAGCCCTCATGATGAGCACAGCGCAGCTGGTTCATTCTGGCCTGCTGCTTTCTTGTTCGGCTCTGTTTTTTTTTAATCGACTAGTAATCTCCTATGATATCATATTTGACATTGCCTCAAAGGTATGTGCTTCATGAAGGTGTCTCAATCCACAATGTCCATTGCATTAAGGCTGGTTTATCGAGTGATCGCCGTGACTCACGGTGCCTGCCTTGCGTGCAGCTGTGCATTTATACTTCTGCGAGCTGTTTGTGTTGCTCTGCAATAACACTTCTGAAACACTAGCTGGCAGTCGGATTTTATGTTCCTCTGTGTCGAGTTTCTTTGCTGATGTTTTGTTTTCTGAACGCTAGCTTAATGTACGAATAGCTAAAACTCGCACATTCAGAGGCGGGAACTGGCGGACGTACAACAACTTTTAATCAGAAGCAGGGCTAGACAGAATCTGCAGACATTTTTTTTTTTCGGTTTCTGGGCAGAATTTTGTAAAAAAAAATCTGTGGATTTATTCATTCATTCATTTTCTTTTCGGCTTAGTCCCTTTATTAATCCAGGGTCGCCCCAGCGGAATGAACCGCCAACTTATCCAGCAAGTTTTTTACGCAGCGGATGCCCTTCCAGCCGCAACCCATCTCTGGGAAACATCCACACACACGTTCACACACACACTCGTACACTACGGACAATTTAGCCTACCCAATTCACCTGTACCGCATGTCTTTGGACTGTGGGGGAAACCGGAGCACCCTGAGGAAACCCACGCGAAGGCAGGGAGAACATGCAAACTCCACACAGAAACGCCAACTGAGCCGAGGTTCGAACCAGCAACCTTCTTGCTGTGAGGCGACAGCACTACCTACTGCGCCACTGCCTCTCCCCCGTTGTGGATTTATGCTAAATTATTTTGGGAGTATTGCAACTAAAAACTTAATATATGAAAAAAAAACTTCTTTTTAACTTTTATTTAATGTTTACAATGCAAATTAATCTAGATCCACTTATTCGGTAAACAAAGCAAGTCCTTTATAGAATATATTCACTAAAAGACAGAAAATATTACTTTACAAAGTGTTTTGTAACACATAACGAATCTACTATTGGTGTATCCTAAACATTTTGTACAATTAAGGGACCGTTCACATATTGTGTCTTCTGGGAGCGCTGAAAAAAATGTTCATATTGTGAGCAAAGCGCACACGGTGTGCCGCGCTCGCAAATTGAAAACATCTCAACTTTTCAAAATGCTGCAAGCTCATCCGAGTCAAGTGACCAGAACTGACCGATCAGCTTAATGCTTTGTATTAAATATATACAATATATACAAGAAGGTTGCTGGTTCGATCCCGGCTGGGTCACTTGGCATCTCTGTTCTGAGTTTGCATGTTCTCCTCGTGTTGGTTTGGGTTTCCTTTGGTTGCTCCGGTTTCCCCCACAGTCCAAACACGGCACTATAGGTGAATTAAAGTGTATGTGTGTGTATGGCTGTTTCCCAGTACTGGGTTGCAGCTGGAAGGGCATCCACTGTGTAAAACATATGCTGGATAAGTTGGCGGTTCATTCCACTGTGGTGACCCCTGATTAATTAAGGGACTAAGCCGAAGGAAAATGAATGAATAAGTTTAATTTGATGATGCTGATGATAATTAAACGTTGTTTTTTTTTATTTATTTTTTTATTTCAGGTGGTGCTGTGTAAGTTCCATTCAGTCTTCCTGTCCCAGAAGGGTCAAGTGTACACATGTGGACACGGACAGGGCGGGAGACTCGGGCATGGTGATGAAAACACTTATCTGGTAAGTCGAGTTAGCCGGAGGTAATGAAAGTATTTCTTCATCTGCTGTATTTCTAAAACTTGGTGTTTGTGGTCATATGAAAGGTTCCTCGGATGGTGGAGGGGCTTCTGTCTCATCACTGTTCACAGATTGCTGCAGCACGAGATCACACTGTGGTTCTGACTGAGGAAGGGTATGTCTACACTTTTGGGCTTAACACCCACCATCAGCTGGGTCTCGGACCTCCTCCTACGTCCAGCTCAGTTCCCAAACAGGTCAGTTGCTTGGGCCACGTACACAAAACATTGAGAACTAAAATGCCTTTAATTTCTTTAAAAAATTTTAAGAAAAAAAATGTAGTTCTAAATAGTATTTTATTTCTTATTTTATAAAAATTTTATTTGTTAGATTAAAAAAAAACTATTTAATTTAATTAAATTTTTTTATTGTATTTCACAATTTTTTAATGTAGTTTTTGTTTTAATTACTTTTTTTTATTATATTTCATATTTTTATTTATTTTTAGTATTTTATTTTATATGTGTTTTTAAGACATAACATCGTTATGAAATATAAGCTTTAGTTATTTATACATTGTTATTTATTTATTTTTTTTCCAAGAGGAATTCATTTAAATTATTGTGGTTCTCTATTGGTGGATACCATGTTAATGACAGATCTCACACCAGTAACCACCAACAAAATTATTAAAGGGTCATGAAACCCCATCTTTCGGTTCAAATCTACCTCAGAATAAAAAAAAAATACTCTGAGATGGGCGTGGAGCTCTATGAGCAAAGGCAGGAGTGGGCATGGCTGGCAGAGCAGGGGAAAAAGAAGGGCTTTTCTTAGTTGGCTCACCAGCTCAAAATAAAAAAATGTGAGGAGATGCATGATTTTATAGTTTACGAAGTTAAAATGCACAGAAATAAATGGTAAATATTTTAATGCCCTGCAACATATACGATAGGTTGTTGGTAATTTCATATAATTTATAGCCACAATTTGTTCTATCATTATAAAGATAATTGTGTTTATATTAAAGCTATGAGTGTGGGGGACTGCTCTCCTCCTTAATCCCCGGTTCTGAATGCAGACAACGTGGATAGCAGCAGGTCTCTTGCCTTATCCATTCCAACCATTAACCCTGCCGGTAATCTGAAGGATTTTAAACATGTGCGAACACCGCAGCACGGATATAGGCGATGTGTCTGAATGGTAACAAACTCAACTGATAAAAGACAAAGTCTGCTATTCTCCAATTCTCATACTGCTCTCCAAACATAAAGTGCTTGCTGCACACAAACAGGTTGGCTGTATCAGCCCTGAGAGCATCACAGAAAAAGCTCTGTGGATTATGAAAACAATGTTTTTAAACTCTAAAGATGAAATTAAAGCTGACAGGTGCTAATGTCTTAAATGATGCTCAACACACAAATCTGTTAATCTCAACAAAAGTTCTTCAAGGTGTTTTAAACCTTTAAAGGGATAGTTGAAAAGCTTACATTTCCTCACCATTTACTCAAACATAGAAAAGTGGTTCTAAACTTTTATCAATTTCTGTTTTCTTTTAAACAAACAAAAAAAAAAAAGTTTGCTGAAGAATGTTTGCAAAAAGCAGCCATTTAACCTTAACAGTAGAAACACAAAATGATAAGTCAATGGCTGTTTTCCCAACATACTTTAGTATATCTTTTTTACGCTCAGCAGAACTAAAAACTCAAACAGGTTTAAAACAAATGGTGGAATTGGATGGGTTTGCACATACGTCCATTCAATTAGAAACATCAAAGCATGCTTTCTCCTAAGACATGAAAAACATTGTTCTCCATTTTCCATTTTGTGAAACGTGCCCTTATGTGTAATTTCAACAATTGTTTTTTTCTTTCAAATTGACTACAGGTCACATCAAAGTCCCTAAAAGGGAGGTCTGTGATCGGTGTTGCAGCCGGCAGGTTCCACACTGTTCTTTGGACCAGAGATGCTGTATATACTGTAGGATTAAATGGAGGCCAACTTGGTAAGAAATTCCATCAAAGTTTCCAATCTGCCAACATACAACCTAGGGCTGCACAATATATCGTTTCAGCAATGTGAACTTCGATATCGCAATGTGCACATGTACAATAGTCACATCACAGGATGTGCAATGTTGAGCTCTGATTATAGTTGACCCATATAGTTCACCCCATAAGTTTCCATAGGTCTAGGTTCATTTACACCAATTAAGTAACAGTTTAATGGATCAGAATGACCGTAACTAAACTTGTGAATGTCCACAGTTGCTAACATGACAAAAAAAAAGTGATTGATTTATAATATCAAATGCAGCATTTTAGTATAATAGTAATTTTGACGAGTGACGAGACTACAAACAGATTGTTTAACTGATCTAAAATCTCTCAGCAAATCCCCCTCCTTCATTTTCATCACAGCATCTACCTCATTTGCCTCTTCCCATATGAAAAGTTGTGGTTCAACCATTGTGACACATTCAGGTTACCTGCTGGAGCCCAATGGAGAGAAGTGCGTGACCGTTCCCCGACAGGTGTCCGCTTTGCTCCACAAGGATGTGACCATCTCTATGGTGGCGGCCAGCAATGGAGCCACTGTCTGCGTCACTGATAAGGGAGACGTGTACCTGCTGGTTGATTATCAGTGCAAGAAGCTGGCATCCAAGTGAGTTCAGACATGGGTTTGGCTGCTGTGTTGGCTCTGCGACACTTGTCTTTTGTTTGGTTTTAAATGCAATAAGTGACAAATAATTAAGGGGATTGTTCACTCAGAATCACCTTACCTGTTCCAAACCTATTTGAATTTCTTTCTTTTTTTGAACACTGGCAACAATTGACTTTAATTGTGTCAAATTATCTCCTTTTTTTGTTTAACAGAAGAAAGAAACTCATAAAGGGTTTGGAACCATTTGAAGAAGAGTAAATAATGAGTATGTTTACATTTTGGGTGAACTACCCCTTTAATTAACACTAGCTCTGTTTCCATCTTCATGTTTTTATGCACAATTTGTGGCGTTTCATAAACCGCTATAAAAACAAATTAAAATATTCTCTAAATTGAGGCAAGCGGTACTTTAGTTGTGCGAAAAAATAATAGAAATGTATTTATTAAACATTTAGACGAGGCAAGGCAAGTTTATTTATATTGCACATTTCATACGCATTGGTAATTCAAAGTGCTTTACACAAACAAGAATAAAAGAAACAAGAAAACAGGTTTTAAAAAAATGAAAAAGAAAAGAAAGACATAATAGTGTGATCTGTCAGACATGGCACAGTGCTCATTCAGTAAAAGCACAGCTAAACAGACGTGTTTTCAGCTTTGATTTGAGTGTGCCTAATGTTGGAGCACATCTGATCATTTCTGGAAGCTGATTCCAGCAGTGAGGGGGCGCAGTAGCTGAAGCCGGATTCACCCTGCTTTGACTGAACTCTGGAATTTCGAATTTACTTGATCCTAATGATCTGAGTAATCTGTAATGTATTAAGGTCATAGGCCATGTAGTGATTTATAGACTAGTAATAATATTAATACTTTAAAGCAGTGATCCCCAACCTTTTTCTAACTGCGGACCGGTCAACAATTGACAATTTTACTGTGGACTGGAGGGTTGAAATAATAATAATAATTATAATAATAATCGTGAATCCACTGTGTACTCATGTGGAGCTTTATTAGCACATTGCTCCAACATTACAATGCTATTATAACATTAGGAAGTAATAACTTAATTAACACATTGCTCCAACAATATAACATATTATAACATCAAAAACTTGTTTCTTTGCAACAAGATGGTCCCATCTGGGGGTAATAGCAGAAGGTTGCCGGAAAGAGCGCGTGCACGTCTAGAACGTGCTGACGTGAGACGTCTGCTTTAGCCAATCAGAACAGTCAGATGCATTCACGTTCGCGCGGTTAATGAGAATAAATTTGAATATTTTTCCAGACACATTCAGCTGCTAGAAATTAGTCTGATAACTTTTATATGTTTATCTTAATGCCGTCTGTGTAAATAATTATAGATAAGATGCTTATGATAAGCTGTTGTTTGTTTACCTTCAAGCTTTGCGTGTGCCCGTGAAACAGCCAGTGAGCGCCAGCACACACACATATCAGGTACATCTCGACATGCGAAAGTGTTTCTGCCATGACTTCAATCCAGAACACCGGCAGAGTTGTTGTCTCGACCACTGTTTTAAGGCCGCCGTCATTTGCGATCTCCAGCAGTTGGTCTTCTTCTTGCACGAACATGCTGGATTCAGCTGGTTTGTTGACAAATGGGTCACGTATCCATTCCTTGGCCGTGTGTGGGTCCTTTGAGGTTGGGAAGTAGCGCTCAAACTTCTTTAACAGCGAAGACTGGTGATCGTGCAGCAGCTTGGTGAGTGAGGGCGCAGGCTCAGTCTCACACAAAATCCCCGCTAATGTTTGAAACATGTCCAATATGCCTCTGTTCAAGCGCCCTCCCCACAAATCCAGCTTGGCTTTAAATGCAGCTACTTTATCTGCCAACTTAAAGATAATTCATTCTTGTGCGGCCCGGTACTGATTGATTGATTGATCCTTGATTGATCCGATTGATTGATTGATTGATTGGTTGGGGACCACTGCTTTAAAGTCTATTCTGAATGTAACTGGGGGGGGCCAGTGTAAAGACCCGAGGAAAGGTGTGATGTGCTCTGATTTTCTGGTTTTGGTCAGAATCCTGGCCGCAGCGTTCTGGATGAGCTGCAACTGTCTGACTGTCTTTTTGGGAAGGTCAGTAAGGAGGCTGTTACAGTAATCCGCCCTGCTGGTGATAAAAGCATGAACAAGTCCTCACCGGAAACGAAGCATCTAATTCTTGCCATGTTTTTGAGATGATTTTGGAGTTACTGCTTTGACATGACTACTGAAACGCAGATCTGACTTCAGAGTCAAACCAAGATTCTTGACCTTATTTTTTTGTTGTTTGACCTTTAGAGCCAAGGTTCACATTCACCTCGAGAACCTCATCTCTGTTCCCAAATGCACTGACTTCAGTTTTCTTTTTGTTGTCTGAAGAAAGTGTGTAGAATATTTATTAAACAAAGCTCGCACCTTTGCTATGGGATAAACCATCTGAATATTTTTTCTATTTATTTTAAATGCCTGATTTGGTTAAACTAAACAAGACCATATTCTCAAAAATCAGGTGTCAACTCCTCAAACTCATCTGCATGTTCTGAGACATGAGTAGTTATGTAGGATAAAAATATGTTATCTTCCTGTGCAACAAGAATTTATTCTTTTGAAAACATGGAGTAAATTAGGGGTGTCAAAAATAATCGTTTTTTCGGTGCACTGCGATGCAGACGCGGACAGTTCGGTATCGGTTCAGTAATAATCATAACCGGTTATTCCTGACGTCATTTACCTCATATGCGCTCTGTCGCGAGGGAGGCGATCGCGAGTATTTACAGCGCTTTAACTACTTAAAACTCATAAACTGTGCACAATTTCACTGTGTGTGTTTGCTGGATCAGTCTTTCACTGACAAATACAACAATAGCCCTATTTCACTGAGATCGAGAGATGAAAGTAGCCTACTCCATTTCTCTCTCTCTCTCTCTCGCACGCGCGCGCTCTGTCTCTGTCTCTCTCTCACACACACACACAGTGCGTGTCTGCAGAGTTTTCTCCACCGTCTCTATTATACATCAGCTGTGAGATCGCCCCTGCCGCTTATCAGCATCACTCATCTGTGAAGAACGCAGCACGCAAGAGCCAATCGCAACCGTTTTTTTTTTTGAGGGTGTGACCAATCAAAGGGGTGTAAGAGAACTAGACAAGGATCAGAGAGTGAGCTGGATATTTATATTTGTTTATATTATTTGCTAAATGCTCGTTTTGTTCAAAGTTACAGTTTATATATCTGACTGTTTGTATTAAATGACAAAATTGTATTACAAATAGTATATAAATATAAATATATTCATACATTTTAATACAAGAAATGCTGCTGTGAAGAAAATATAAAACTGTGTATGGAAAGCACCATCAATGCACCGTGATGCACCGAAATATCGAATTGAACCGAATAGATGGCATGATAATCGTAACCGAACCGTGAGACTAGTGTAGGTTCACACCTCTAGAGTAAATACAGTAGTTTATTTCTGAATGTTTTATCCTGGATCTTATTTGAAATTGACTGGAAACACTGCTGTTATTGCTGTCTTTTTCCTGTCCTTCAGACAGCTGAACCTGAAGAAAATTCTGGTCAGTGGTGGTAGTTTGGATCATCGTACTGACCCTCAGCTTCTGCATGATGGTGGAGGAGAGAAGCTGGTGATTCTGGCTCTGGATGAAACTGGAAGAGTGAGTGATGTACAGTGTTGAACTTATGTATTAATGTAAAGCTATCAGCAATACTATGACAATGGCTAATACCAATGATTATGTAATGATATGTGTTAGGAAAGCAGCTGGTGTGCACCTTCCTCAAACACTGGCACAAAACCATTGTTTAGTTTGGGCTAAAACTTAATAAATAAATAAAAAAAAAATATATATATATATATATATATATATATATATTTTTTAAATATATTTATTTGCATTTATTTTGAACACATAATACATTTAAATAAAAGAGAAAAAACACACATAAGAGAACCTTGCGGAACTTTAAAATCCCCCCCCCCCCCCCCAAAAAAAAATAAAATAAATAAATAATAATTTAAAATAAAAAAATAAAATAAAAAAACATCTCTCACTAGTTTCCGTACACCAGCATTCACAGCCATCCAATTTACAGTTTAACCTTTTACCTTCACTGCGTATTTAGTAATTTTTAGGAGAACACATTATGTAATGGAGATACCCAATACGAAGAAATGAATGTTGAGTATTAGTCGTCCATCCCTGTCAAGTCCTCTTGGTTACAATAGCATTAAAACAGACTATATTTAAATGAGTCAGTAAATTTACACTGAGACAGAGCATCAATTTATATATTGCATCAGCACTGGTTATATTTTCCATTTATATGTTTTAAAAGAAATGTTGAATAGGAAAAAATCACCTTTAATGATTGATTTTATCTTAATTTATGCAAGGGTAAGCAAAGGGTTATAATCATCAATTGCAGTGCAATTGATAATCAAATCGTTAGTCTTGTGCATGCAAGTATGTAAGGGAGACCTTTGCACACTTGCCTTAATAAATCTGAGTAAATAAAAAAAAGCACCTCAGCTCTATAAACATGGTAAACACACTATAATTTGCTGTTTTACTCTATGTAACTCCATATAAAAGCCCAAAAGCCCAGGCCTATCTAAAGGGATAATGCTGCCAACAGATGACCAACAGTAAAAATGACAAATTTTACTTCCTCCCAACATTTCAAACCACCAACAATCAAGAATGCATGATTATATATGGTGTGTCATGGCTTTGCATGAAAAAAAATGTCATTTTAATTAAAGTCAGTGGGGCAAAAACAACCACCAACAATCAAAAGTACATGAATACATGGTGTGTCGTGGCTTTGCATTCAGAAAATGTCGTTATAAGTCAGTTGGGGCAAAAACAGCTCCAAACACTACGAAAGAGTAGTCAATTTCAACAATACGCAAGGGTTAATTTATTGTATATACACTAAATGTTCATCATTCTGTTCAATTTGCTGTTCTCTGTTATTTCAGGTGTTTTCCTGGCGCTCTGTGGGCACGTCAGCAAGGCTGTGTCGCTGGGCGTATGGGCGCCAGGTCTTCGTATCAGACATCGCTCTCAGTAAAAACAGCATGATGTTTGTCACTCAGGATGGCGAGGGCTTTAGTGGACAGTGGCTGGGCCAGTACAAGAAAGCTGGAGACAAAAAAGGTGCAGTTAAATGTCATTTTATCCACTAGAGGGTGCATATTCACAACAAACAAAGGCGAATTATGATGACTGAGTGTGGAATCTTGAGAGTTAGGCTGCGTCTGAAACCGCCTACTACTCAGTAGGTACTGCATTTGAATTTAAACGTACTACTCGGCCGTTAGAAAAGTACGTTCTATACAGTATGAATGTGAAAAGTATGAATGGAATTCGGACGTACTACATCCGCCATTTTGACATAGTCACCTGACGTACCTCCGTCATTTGCGTCGCTTAACTCCCATTCATGAATTCACTCGTAGAGCATAATGGAATAGCACAGCGTGCATGGGATGCGCACTCCAGAATCTCGCCGGAAGTAGTAAGTCATCCGGGTACTTCTCGCATACTGTTTTTCGAATTCTATGAATTCGTACATACTACTCGGCTCGCATACTGATTTTAGCGTACTGTATAGTGTGGAAGTATGCGGTTTCGGACGCAGCCTTAGTCTTTATCATCCTATGGGATTCCTGGAGAAATCAGTGTAACTCCTCCCCTTCTTTAAAAACAACCAATAGCATTTTGTTTTTATCATTGCTCTGCCAGTGAGAATGTGATTGAGCACAAGCGCATCAAATGAAAAGCAGGTCTTGAAGAGAGGGCGTGGCTTGTCAGAGACAAGAGAGCATTTAATTGGTCAGAAGATTTGTTGAGAAACTGTAGTATGAGGTGGCTTGAATACAACTGTGACAAACTGAAAGGTTTACATGTTTATTCTAGCTTATAGATTTCCTAAAAACTAACAATTCTGATACTAGCATCAAAAAAAACTTTATTTTAATTTCATGGGACCTTTAAGTAAGTCATAAATCAGCAAAATATATTTGTGTTTTTGGATATTCTAATGAAACGATCTTAACATATTGTGTCTTTTAAACCGTTCTAAATAAAAGGCTGAAATGGAGGACTTATTGCATATCTTTGTGGTGTGTCAGATGGTTTGGAGGTCTCCAGTAACTCAGACGGAGGGAGCGTTTTTGAACGAATCCGCCTGGAGAAGCTTCATTACGTCCACCGAGCTGTCAGCATCGTCATGGATTCTAGCGGACGCAATTTCGGAGTTTTACAAGTGGATCCCAAAACCAGGTGCAGATCATGATGACGACTGCGGTCACGGATGTGTATGACTAAACTAGCAGTCATTTGTTTGGATGTTAGCATTTGTTGGTATTTAGTAGGTCCGGTTCCTTCTGATCGTGCAAATTGTTTATCTTACAAACATAAACAGTGAATTTTTTTGAATGACTATGTACTGCATGGGCTCAAAAAATGAGGAATTTGCAAGATTAATATTTGTGGATTAAATGAACAGCAAGAGGTGTGATTTTTACCAACCTCTAAAACGCAACTGTAAATACTGTCTTAGTATCAACTGAAATGTAAACGTGCCTGAATAGTTTTTGTTATTCTAGCTTATTTGGGCATCTGTTTTTATAAAATCTGTGCCTAAATTTAAAATAAAAATTAATAAAAAGTTTGAAAAACATGCCAAAAAAGAATATAGAATAATAAAGCTGAGAAATAAACAATATTTTAGTTTATTTAGGAATTGAGATTTACAAACTCGCGTCAGCTACCAGATGTTGATAAACTATTTAATATTTTTTGTCTGAGTATTTTCTGATTGGTTATTAATATTCAATTTATTTTTACAAAAGTACATGATTATATAAAAAAAAAAAAAAAAAATATATATATATATATATATATATTTCAGGTATACTCTCCCTAAAACAGAAAAAGAATAATAAATTAAGGGAAGGTATACTTTAATTATAAAGTAAATGATGCATAAATATGAGGGAAAAAACAACAACAAAAAAATACAAATCTAAATATTTTAAATGCAACAAAAAATACACTACAAAGAACAAATTCTTGCTGCTTTCAAGAACCCTTAAATAATTATTCTGTGGATCTTTGTCCTCAGTTGTGTCTTACGCCATCATCCAAAAATACACTGTATTGATTAAAATTATAGATTTGTTTTTGTTTATTTTATGGCAAAAACCATTAGAGGTAAAGATCATGTTCCATGAAGATATGATGTACATTTTCTGCTGTAAATATATTAAATCTTTAATACATCTAATTTTTCTATTAGTAATATGCATCTGCATTAGCAATCAGCTAA